GTAAACTTCGAAGTACACCCTTCGAAGTTTCAAGTAAACTTCGAAGTGCACCCTTCGAAGTTTCGAAGAAGTTGGTTCGAAACTTCTTCGAAGTTTGGTCGAAACTTCGAAAGTTAAATTTTTACGATTTAGTTAAAATTTTGGAAAATAGCTAAATGTTTAAAACTCACTTTAGTTAATTTTTGAATAGTTAAAACATAGTTTTAACTATTTCTCACAAATTTAACTTTGTCGAAATACGATTTAGCCAAATTTACTAAATTTAGATACATCCTAATTTTTTAACTAAGCCGGTCTTTTGGGCAGTATGCAGCCATCACCATACCCCCGCTGCGCGCAGAGCTGTCCACCTTGGATTTGTTCCTACGCCCGAGTCGCTGTGAAGGAGGCCATCGAGGAGTTGGGGTGAAACCTTTGGCATCATGCGCATGTGGTTCGAGACACCGTATGAGGGGACCTTCGAGACTGCAATGGAGAACATGCTGACTACCCGCGAGCTGCTCGGACTGCCAGGTCAATCCGAGAAGCTACGATGGGTTGGGGGTGACGCAACGCTGGAGGTGGGTGGAGCGCTGGACTGGAAAGACTCAGTCTACACGCGGGAGGATGCGAAGGCTAGATCCCCGAGATTGAAAAGGGCCCAGAGATGAAGATCGCCCTGGCGGAGCTCTGATGCTACGTGGGCCTGGCAGCGGCTTTGAGTGCAAGTTGGCGTGGGGATTTGGTGGCCTATGTCACAGACAACCAGCACGCGCGTGCCTGGCTTACCAAACGCCAAGCAAAGTGCAAGTTGGCGCGTCACATTCTTAGGATCCTTGGCTTACTTGAGTTGCGACACCACTTCAAGACGATGGCGTTCTACATCCGGACCTACCGCAACGTCGCCGCCGATTGGTTGAGCAGGGAAACCAAGAAGGTGGTCGCCGAACAGATGGGGATGGACGGTGGAGGCGTAGGAGAATTGGGAGCAGTACGTCAAGGAGTCCGTCGAAGGCATCTACCACTGGCCAGGAGGTGAGATTCTTTGCAACTCTGACGCCCCAACACGGTGATCGCTGATGGCTGTGCCATGGAGGACGGTCCACGGACCTGTTGATGGAGAACATGACGCTAGTATGGTTTTTTGGCTCCGTCTCGCAAGCGCGCGTCAAGAGGTACATCAGGGAGTACCAACCCCTTGGGGCGCTGTTGGACGTGGCGGGGGCCCACTACGGACGGAGTTGACGGCCATGGTGAAGGAATTGGGCTACGGGTGTACCTGTGATGAATGTCTTACCACCCACTACGGTGATGCGGTCGCCAAGAAGAAGGTGATGATCGTGGGATGGAGGCTTAAAGGAGGCCGGGTCACGAGACAACTGGCGGCAACGCCCATTCGGAAGCGATTCCGCCCACCTGGTTGGACTTGAACACGAGCGTCAAGCTGAACAGCAAGATCTCCACCGCAAGGGGGCCGCATGCATGCTTCCCTGGCCAGCTGGCCATTTTTTGGAACGAAGCAGGCAAGGATGCGAAGGAGCTGATATAGGACATCAGGGGGCCCGCGCTCGACTCCGACAAGGTGGGAGTCTGCCGAGACGCACAAGTCCAAGCTTGGATGCGCGCGTGGCAAGGAAACCACGACAACCCTCGCACCGAGTATGAGCGGTGGCTGGCAGGACGTGGAGAGATCCAGGAAGAGAAACTCGGAGGGCGCCCCAAAGGACCTCGAGCGCCACCAGATCGCCTTGTCCCCCCAAGCACCATTGGGCGGAGCAGGGAGCGGCTCTGCCTCAATGCCAATAAGGAGCTGAGGAAGATCAAGCATGATGGCTCGACGCTCCAGCAGCAGAAGCGGTGATGTCTATTACTAAGCTGTCAGAGGGGACGCGTGCGGGCTACGAAGTGGGCTGGAAGCAGTGTGCTTGTAGAGACGGCTTGGAGGCAAGAATAATGTCTACCTGGTCGGCGAGAGCAAGGACGAGCGCAAGACCGACGTGCGCTACATGACCTACCTGGTCCACGTCATGAAGAGGACTGAGGGGACGATCAAACAGCGGCTCTTCGCAATCAAGATGGGACACTTGGTGGCGGGGCGCGATGACCCAACTCTCCATATAGGACAAGAATTTGGGCTGAGCTCAATGGATACAAACGTTGGCAACTGGACCAAACGAAAGTATCGCAAGTGACTCCATCAGCAAGGAAGACAGGACCATCCTATGGGTGGCCATTGTGGTTGGTTTCTTTTTCTTCCTCACGGCGTCGGAGTTCCTTGTGACTGTTGGACGCTCATGGGGTAGCGCGAAGACATTGAAAGGCTGCGACGTGGAGGCGCGAAAGGACAACCAGCCGGTCACCAACTACCATGTGGCGGAGGAGATTGTTATCTACCTCAAGGGTTCCAAGACCGACCAGTACAATCAAGGGACGGCCCGCAACCAGTTCCGCAGCGGGGACGAACTTTGTGTGGTGGATGCGCTGGCCTGCTACCAGTCTCAGTGCATACACCCGGAACGTTTCACTGGGGCCGAGGAGAACCTCCCGTTGTTCCGCTATGATTGAAGATGGAAAGCCGATTCAACGTGGGGACATCCAAGGACTCATTCAACTAGCAGCTGTGGCGGATGGGCAAGCCAGAACGCGCTATGGCTCACACAGCCTCAGGGTTGGAGGTGCAACTGCTGAAGAGATTTGGGAGGTGGAACTCGGATGCGTTCCATGGCTACCTGTGGTAATCCCACGAACGCCAACGTGATCTGGCAAAGGGAATGGCCCAAGCAAATGGGCAACTGTTGGCGCCTAGGCAGGTGAAGAAAGGCATTGCGCCATGTTCGCCAAATGAGCGAGACTTGAAGAAGATGGACCCATCGAAAGCCGGAGCAGAGAGGCGAGTGACTTCAGGAGACTACGACACGCAGAATGAGGCGACGGAGCGTCTCACGCTCGAGGAGCTCGATGGCGCCGGCAATAGGAAGAGAAGCGAGATGGGCAGAAGGGCTGGAGGCAAAGAGACTTCTGCTTGAAGGCGCAAAACGCTTGTTTCAGTGTTTGCAAGAAGTCCGGGAAACAGGAGAGCCTGTTGAAGACGTAAGGTTTTCATGACTCCGCTGCTTTGGGGGGCTGGAGTCCGGAGGCGCAGAGCTTCTGCTTGATGGCGCAAAATGCTCGCTCCAATGTTTGCAAGAAGTCCGGGAATCAAATACCAAATGTATTGGAAGCAGGCTCTTCTGCACCGGCGAAAAATTGCGCAATCAAGGCTATATTTTCGTACGCTCGAGTCAGCGAAGCACTTGTTTTCATTGGTTGGCAGTTGTCATTTCGCCCACAACATCCAACATGTTTTGTACGCGGGCTTCTTTGGTCCAACCACATCCATTTTGCAACATGCGTTTCGTGCAGTAATAAGTCTAATCTGAATTGGTTTTCTGTGTATGGGGGAGCTGCAGGCGAGCATTCGGCCTATGGCACAGATGCCGCCCTCCGCAGATGCCTGGAGGTTTCTTCTACGCGTTCGGCGAGCTAGGGCCAGTTTGCTGACTCTTTGACTGTTTAAATTAATTGACTCAGGAGCTACGGTGGCATGGCGAAGCTTTGTGCCAGTGTGCAGCAGGCGCGTGTGCCAGCGCTCGATTTCGAAACTCAACTGATGCTACCCGACCTGAGGCGCTAATGCGCAAGAGCTTTGTGCAGAGGCCAGCGCCAGACGGAAGGCCGCAGGGAAGAGAGAGAGAGAGAGAGAGGTGACTTGCTTCAACCCTCCCGCTCCCTGGCTAGCCACGGTTTCCATACCGCTCAACAGCAAAAACAGTTCGAACCACGCAGCACTTTGCTTTTAATCAGCAGTCGGGTATTCGGGGCCAGAACGATTGCGAGAGGAATGGAATTGCAGGTCAGGTGCAGCCAGCTTCGTTCTCGCAGCTCTGCGCACGCTTCATCCTCCACAGCTTTGCTGTCTGACCAGTTGCAACGACGCCCAAAAAAGGAAACTTAGTCAAGTTTTTGCTCTAATTCGCAAGATAGCGATAGCTGTATAGGCTACAGGGCTTCTTGCTTCTCCATGACTGGGTGCCTGTATTCCGTTTTGGATCATTTTGGTTTGCCGCCGCTGCGCCGCTGCTGCGCCGCTGCTGCCTTGTCTTCCCACTTGTCTCGCTGCCTTGTCTCCCCACTTGTCTCCTTACACATCTCCCTCCCCACTTGTCTACCTGTCTGATCGCCGTTTGGGACTGCGTGAGGGAATCACTCCACACCCAAACTTTCCCAAATGTTATGTCTCAGTCTGTGTGAACAGGTGGTGCCTTTGACAGCTCAGGCAGCGCAAGAAGCCGTTTGCATTGTTTTCGTTTGTTTTTGTGCTACGCACCCGGCGCCGTACTTTACGGGGTGCCGGCGCTGGTGTCAAGGCGGCGTCGGTGGGTACTGGTGTCGGTGTCGACAAACCCAGGCCTGGCTGCCTACAGCGCTTGGGCACCGGGGTCAATTTTAAAGCAATGTGCGTAGTACAGTGAATTCTGGGGCGACAGCTTGGTTGGCCGCTCGACCGCTGCTGCCTCCTTCACACGAAGATGCCGACCGCGAGCGCTTGGCTTTGGCTCTGTTGGATGCAGTGAAGCGTGTCCAGGTTTTTGGCACAGTATTGCTAGAACTGCAGGATCGACCTCTCGCCCAGCTCACCTTTTTTTCCAGGATAGGGCGCCGTCTACACTCCGCAAGCATTATGTGGATGGCAGAAGTGGACCCGGGTTTGTCGAGACTCAGCCATGTGCCCGACGCTCATCAGTTCTTGGATTTCTTACAGGCTTTGGCAGCAGGCGCATGTGAAAATCGCGGTGGCAACCGTGTTTTTTGGCGCCGAGTGCGCGCGCTCAAGTTCATCTGGGCACGCCGAGAAGTGGAATCGGGCGCACCATTCTCTCTTTTCATTTGACCAGTGTAGATTGGGCGTGCAATAATCTGCGGCAGAATCTCCCGTGTGACCACAGTCCCGAGGACCCTGCGGACCGGGACGACGGGCGCGGGCGCGAGTGTGAGGTGCGATGGGTGGTGCTGGCGCGGGCGCGGGTGCTGGCGTGAGGTGCAAGTGCCAGTGTAGGCGCAGGCGTGGATGAGGTTCAATGGTGGTGGAGGGCCGCGGTGTGCGAGCATGTATTTAGAACTTGCACGTTTTAGTCTTGGTATGGCTTAGTCGTCAAGATAATGTTTAGTTCTTTGACCTTGTGTCATATCTCAGTCACATATTCACTCAGCCACCAAGCTTTAGAACAGATAACCCTAAGCTGAGACAGCATCATGTCCTTTGGGTTGTTGGCACTCTGCATGAAGCGCAAACAGCCAAAAGTCACTTCGCTTTCCATTTACATTCAGATTTTGCCAGAAATTGGGAGGTGTAGGGTAGGGACTGAGAGGGAGAGAGGGAGGTGGAATTGACTGACCTCGAAGCAGGCCCGCTATCCCGCTGAATATCTCGCTACGAAGCAATGGGGAAGGCCGGAAAGTCCGGATGCATCGTTCTTAAGCAGGATCCACAACCCGCTACAAAACGGTGCATATGTTGTCGATGACTCTCCTTTCACTTTGGCCGAACTCGACTATGTTCTTTCCCGCTCCAAGCCCAATAAATCACCCGGATTTGACGGAGTACCCTCCGAATTGTTCAAGTGGCTGGATCAGACCAACCGTCAACTTGTCCTTGCTGCCGCAAACAAATGTATAGCAGCTGGGGACAGACATGCTGCCCCATCATCCCAATGCGGTTGTAGTTTCCATTTGTAAAAAGGTAACTCCTCGTTGCTGTCTAATTATCGCCCCATCTCCCTTCTAACCTCTTGCTATAAACTTGTAGCTGCCTTAGTGAAAGGGCGGCTAGACAAAGGTCTGGATGGGTGGCTCATGCAAATTGCTTTCGGAAAGCCAGAAGCACTGCTCAGGCTATTTTCTTAGCAAGACGTATTCAAGACCTTTCTGAAAAATCGCACACCCCTCTCTTCCTCTCTTCTCTCCTCCGCTCCTCCTCCCCCCCTCCCCCGGAAGCGGCCCCTCCTCCTCCTCCCACCCTTTTGATTGGGAAAAGGCGTTTGATAAAGTGTTCCAAAATAAAATGATTGAAACCGTGTTTCGATTAAAGGTCACCACATGCATAATCGGTCTTATCCAATTCTTTTATAGGGAACCCACATTGGGCAAGATTCCTCTTGGAAATGCAAAGGTGCGGGGATCCGTCAAGGATGCCCATTATCCCCATATCTTTTCTGTTTGGTCATGGAACCATTGTTTGCTGATTTATGTGGAGCAAGAACTGAACACCCCCAGACAACAGCAACCAATAAACGACATTCATTTTGCTGAGATGTTGTACGCTGATGACACTTTAATCTTCGGCGCCAATACTCATTGCATTAATGTTCTACTACATGCTATCGAACGACGTTCTGCATATTTGGGTTGAAACTGAACTATGACAAACGCGAAAAATCTCACCTCTAACCAACTGCAATCCTCCGTTCATTTCGCACCGAATGGTCCAACACAAGGTGCCAAGGTTTCACGGAAAAGCTCTGCTACATATCTCGGCGCCCTGTTGTCGGACTCCTTTGACAACCGGGCAGAGATCTCCAATAGACTGAGCGACTGCATAGCAACGTGTAACAGGCTTGAGATTTTCTGGCCAAAAGCTAACGCCAGTGTCAAATGGAAAATACAAGTCTTCAACGCTATTGTTAGGTCTAAACTCCTCTACAGTCTTGAACGCATACAGCTAACTACTGCTGATATATCTCGCCTCAATGCCTTCCAAAACAAACCTCTCAGAAGGATCTTGGGAATCCCTCCAACGTTCATTGATCGGGAACAAACAAACGCTCGAATTTACGCTAGCATCCAGCAGGAACATGGATGTACTTTTGAACCTTTCGGGCGGACATGGAAGAAAGTAAATGCCGCCTATTTGGCCACATTTTGAGGGCGCCTAGGTCGGATCCGTGGTCCAAGTCGTTCTTGAATTTGACGGTGCCACACCTAAAACTTCGCTTTTTCGGAGACCAGTTAGGCCCCGAGCAGATTGGGTTGTTGAACCTTACAAGGATTCCTGCTCTTTGCTGTTTGGACCCCACACTGTTTTTGATATATCGGACTACCAACTTCTTGGTAACATCAAACAGGCGGCTACAATTAAATAGAACTGGTCCTTTTGCCACACGCTTACGATGCATGGGACTGCGCCAAGTCCCAAAGGCTTTCGAGCCTCTCATGGTACTGCTCTTGGTACTCTCAACTATTGTGCTGTCTGATGCGTAGTGTATTTGCGTGTTCGGCTGGTTTCTATTCTCTTGTACTTTTGGTGGAGTGTTCTGTTGCACCTATTTCTTTCACAGCTCTGCAAGCTTTGTAATTCCCTGTCTCTATTGTTCTTTTTTCCCTCCTTCTGCGTGGCTGTTGGGAGCCCATTTGTGCTCGCTGCTCGCGGGCAAATACGAATTTTTGCAAAAATGCGATTTACGCAAATTGGCAACCTAAATTTTTCAATTGGCGTAAAGCCATTGAAAATGTGAGTTTACTAATTTCGAAGACTCAGGGTACCCTAGCTAGCTCAGCACGCTCAACGAACTCGACAAGCTCGGCGAGCTCAATGACGAGTTGAAATTGGCCACAGCTTTCGCTTGCAGGAAGCGTGCGCACCCATCTTGGAGACGCCGTGGACACTGCGAGCTCGACGAACTCAACGGGCCCGACCACAGGGTGCGCTTGCAGAGCAGCACGTCGCGCGGGGAGATCGATGCAAAATGGACACCGCGAGCTCGACGAGCTCAAGGAGGTCAACAAACTCTAAGGTCAAAGATCAGCAAGGTCAACGAGCTCAACGGGCTCAGCAAACTTAGCGAGCCCGACGACGGTTTGAAATTGGTCACAGGGTGGCAGCAAGCACACCCTGCGAGATCGATGCTATGGGCACAGCGAGCTCGTCGCTCAACGAGCTCAGCAACGTCAAAAGCGAGGTCAACGAGATCAACGAGCTCAGCCCCAACGACAAGTTGACATTGGCCACAGGGTGTGCTTGCAGCAAGCGCACCCATCTTGGAGATGCAGTGGACACTGCGCCAGATAGCAGCAGCTGTTTCCGATTTTCAGCGGTGGTTGATTGGGTCCGTTTAGCGGCTCCGTTGTTAAGTTTCCTTGTGGCGTTCATAGTGCCAACTTATGACTGGCCTTAGCCCTGCTGTATGGCCCGCAAGTGTTGAACATACGCGGCCCCTGCCTGGATCAAACCTGCCTGCGCCGTCGCGGTTTGAATATTGTGATGTTTTGACAATTCTTGATGTTTGTTTGAGAATCGCGTATTCGCAGGGGCTTTGTTGAGGACAGGGACGCAGGTTGGTGCGAGCCACCGCCAAACCACGCGCAACGCGTTATTCAGTCAGAAGCGCTCAGACTTGGACTCACCCTTTGCGATCCTCTCTCCTTTCTCCTCCCGCCCACTTGCTCACCCTCCTATAGTCAGATAGATCTTGGGTCTTGTTTTTTGCTAGCGGGGCTGACAACCATGCCAAGAGTTGCGCACCATTCAGCAAGCCACTGACTGATTCTTGTCATGTTGCTTCTGTTGCTTTTGTTGCTTTGATTTCATATTGGAAAAACTTTGCATGTTGTTACAGTTCACTATGCTGGCATCTTCCAAGTTATATATCGTATTTTTTTTGATGGCGACGCGGTGCGTACACAAAAACTGTTTCTACGGAGCTCAATTCATTATTCTCATAAAAGTACCATTGTTTACAAAGTTTACACCATTCAGAAGGGCATCAGGGGTGGGCTATTGATTTCGGTTTCATGATCATTGTCAACGGTTGCGTCTATTGCGCAAGACCATCGTCCGCTTCACTTCGCATTCCTGCTCACAACGTTTTCATCGGGTTCACCAAACGCATTCACCACACCATTCTTTGTTTCAACACACATGCGAGCGTAGTCAAGTTGGTAGTCCGTCAAAGGACTTGATTCGAGTGATTATGTGCAGCGCACAGATGCAGTTTCGCTTTGCATTGTTTATGTGTTCTTGCCTGGACGTAGGATCAAGCGCGTGTCACTTGTCAGCTCGTGATTTGTCCGTCTCCGGCTTCGCTTCGATTGATTGTGATCTTGGAAAAATTGTTTCGCGCTCGCAAGTCTTGGGGCCGCAGCATGTCCGTGGCTGGAGTTTTGCAGACGCAAGAGCCCCCAAGACATGTTCTTTTCCAGACGTGAGAATTAAGAAACGCAGGAATAACGACATCAAGCACTGCGCGAAAGGACATAACAAATATACACGATCAAAGATGAATAAGTCAACCTGGCGTTTGTGTTTGTCTCACGTCGCGTGTGTTTCTTTTGGTCAGCTTATCGCTTTCAACTGTTTTGGATCATTTGTACCGATCTCTTCGCCGTATGCGCAGCCGAAAACATATGAGTCTAACGGGCTGATGGGTGCAAGTGCAAGTGATCAGAATCTGCTGTCACCCTTTTGGGGGATGATTTCTGGGCCGGTCTTGCACGCGCTACCTCGCACAGGGTCGGGAAATTTATATCTGTTCTTGAATTTTGGTTTAACATTCTTGAGTTATTGACATCACCAGCATTTTCATCAAACCGTGGTTTCAGCAAAGGATACTGGTGTTTTTCACCACATTACTATGTGGGGTTCTTGTTTTTCACCCTGCGCCCGCCGCTCCGCCTCCGCCTCCACCTCCGCCGCCGCCGCTCATCTTACACCACCTATCTTACAGTACTCATCTTACACCACCCATCTTACACCACTCATCTCACACCACCTCTTACACCACTCATCTCACACCACTCATATTTCACCACTCACCTTACACCACCTATCTTACACTACTCATCTTACACCGCCCATCTTACACCACTCATCTTACACCACTCATCTCGCACCACTCCTCATACACCACCTTTCTTACACTACTCATCTGACACCGCCCATCTTACACCACCTATCTTACCCTAGTCATCTTACACCACACATCTTACACCGCTCATCTCACACCACTCATCGTACACCGCTCAGTCTTGCACCACCGAGTGCAGATTTCGTGGCAGGCGCAGTATGCAGAGCCTTCAGGAGGACTGGGTGGACGCGTGGTCGCCGCTGGGATTTCGTGGTAGGCACAGAGCCTTTAGGAGGACTGGGTGGACGCGTGGTCGCCCCTGGGCCGCGGCTGCCTGTCGTGCAGAGTTCGTGGTAGGCGCAGCACTCTGTGAACCTGGAGTGCAGATTTCGCGGTACGCGCAGCGCTTGGTGAACCTCAGATCAGGTTTCGTGGCAGGCGCAGTTCACAGAGCCTTCAGGAGGACCCGGTGGACGCCTGGTCGGTGCTGGGCTGCGGCTGCCTGTCGTGCAGATTTCGTGGCAGGCACAGCGCTTTGTGACCCTGCGGTGCAGATTTCTTGGTACGTGCACAGATTTCGTCGCAGGCGCAGCCGCTGGGCCGCGGCTGCCTGTTGTGCAGATTTCGTGGCAGGCGCAGCGCTTTGTGAACCTGGAGTGCAGATTTCGTGGTACGCGCAGCGCTTGGTGAACCTGCAGTGCAGATTTCGTGACAGGCGCAGTACGCAGAGCCTTGAGGAGTACTGTGTGGACGCGTGGTCGCCGCTGGGCCGCGGCTGCCTGTCGTGCAGATTTCGTGGCAGGCGCAGCGCTTGGTGAACCTGGAGTGTAGATTTCGTGGTCCGCGCAGCGCTTGGTGGCCGTGGAGTGCAGATTTCGTGGTAGGCGCAGTACGCAGAGCCTTCAGGAGGACCGGGTGGACGCGCGGTCACCGCTGGGCTGCGGCTGCCTGTCGTGCAGAGTTCGTGGCAGGCGCAGCGCTTTGTGAGCCTGGAGGGCAGAATTCGTGGTAGGCGCAGCGCTTGGTGAACCTGGAGTGCAGATTTCGTGGCAGGCGCAGTACACAGAGCCTTCAGGATTACTGGGTGGCACAGAGCCTTCAGGAGGACTGGGTGTACGCATGGTCGCCGCTGGGCCGCGGCTGCCTGCGGTGCAGAGTTCGCGGTAGGCACAGCGCTCTGTGAACCTGGAGTGCAGATTTCGCAGGCGCAGTGCGGAGAGCCTGCAAACGAGCGGATGGACGCGTGGTCGCCGCTGGGCCGCCTGGCGTGCAGATTTCGTGGCAGTCACAGCACTTTGTGAACCTGGAGTGCAGATTTCGTGGTAGGCACAGCGCTTGGTGAAGTTGGTCACACACCGCCTCTCACCACTCATCACACACCACTCATCTTACACCACTCATCACACACCACTCATCACACGCCACTCATCCTACACCACTCATCGCACACCGCTCATCACACACTACTCATCTGACACCACTCATCACACACCACTCATCACACGCCACTCATCACACACCACTCATCTTACAGCACTCATCACACACCACTCATCCCACACCACTGATCACACACCACTCATCCCACACCACTCATTTTACACCACTCATCACACACCACTCATCACACACAACTCATCACACACCAGTCATCACACACCAGTCATCGCACACCACTCATCACGCACCACTCATCTCACACCGCTCATCACACACCACTCATCTGGGACCACTCATCTCACACCGCACATCACACACCACTCATCTTACACCACACAGCGCACACCACTCATCTTACACCACTCATCACACACCACTCATCGCACGCCACTCATCTTACACCACTCATCACACACCACTCATCACACGCCACTCATCCTACACCACTCATCGCACACCGCTCATCACACACCACTCATCACACACCACTCATCGCGCACCACTCATCACACACGTACCACTCATCACACAGCGCTCATCTTACACCACTCATCACACACCACTCATCACACACACCACTCATCTCACACCACTCATCACACACCGCTCATCACACACTGCTCATCTTACACCACACATCACACACCACTCATCACACACCACTCATCACACACCCCTCATCACACACCACTCATCACACACCGCTCGTCACACACCGCTCATCACACACCACTCATCACGCACCACTCATCTCACACCGCTAATCACACACCACTCATCTTACACCACTCATCACATCACACACCACTCAGCACACACGACTCATGGCACGCCACTCATCTCATTCACTTTTATCGTCCAGTATCTTTCCGTCCTCTTTTCTTATCAGTCTCTACTTCTCGTTGGTAGTTCTTACCCCAGCGGAGTTCAAGATCTTGGAGTTTTTGCATGCGCGGTGGTCCAAAGTGGAAGGCAGCTATAGAGGTGAAATTCATGTGGAACTATATTCTTGGGTCACAAACAGCTTCGGAACCGGAATTGTTGAGCGTGTATCAGTTAAAGCAACCTTGCTTAGACGCCCTGCTGTTCAACCGCGTGAAATTGTTTTCCAATTATGGGCTGCGGGGTCAAGGGGCGAGACATTTGGGATTTGCGCGTGTGTTGTGGACGAGATTTTGTTTGATCGCACGCCGCATAGGTGTCGTTCCACCGAGCGCGCTGCGCATAGCATGTGTGGCGCTCTTTCTTGCAAGTTGAAATCCAAGCTTTGAAATTCTTGCATAGTATTCCGAGCGAGGCCATTGCCTGCCTATCTTTAGTGATTTGGCAACTTTGGTTCCAACTGAACAATCGTAAAAGAAGTGTTGCAGGATCTAGTGTGGAGAAAGAAAAGCGCCTTGGCGCCAACCCCGGTGATCTTGGTATACAAAAGATGCTGTTTTGGGGTTGCAAGCTTTGTTGTGTTGCGCGCGCAGGAATTGTTTTGGAGCCTCGGCTGCGAGCATAAGAAAGACCGTGCTCCATGATCACGTCGCTTTCCTTCCCTTGTTTTGTTAGTTGTGAGTTCCATGTCCATACGCTTTGTAGGGCTATTGACCAAAGCCCTTTGGGCTTAAGAATATACATCCAGGCAGTGCGCACGCAAAATTGAATGAAGGGCAGCCATCAAACACACTCAACAAAAGCTTTCTGGGAAACTACATGAGCCTTTTGAGAAGAGCTTGCCTTGAGCAAACCGAAGTGAATGACTCTTGACACATATTCTAGGATGCCCAACTGGAAGCTTGGAAGTTGTTGTTTTCTAGCGTGGTAATATTGTTAAACTGTTACTTTGCGGGAATTTCAATTTGCTAGGGGTGAGCCATGCCAATTCCACACAGTAAGTGGAAGCTAGTGCCAACAAGCAGCTGACGGCGCAACATTGGTTGCGTGCGCGTCGGTGAAATGGAGGCGGCTCCCATGTTTGGCTGCTGGCGCTGCCAAATTGCAGCGCGCTGAAGCTTTCAACCGAGGCTTGGCGTACATACATAGACGGTACTACCGTATTACAAAATATTATATGTCACGCTGGCCTTAACGAAAAAAGATGCAATGTATTTTGTTTACAATGAAATTCTTGTACAGATCGGCCTGAATGCTCAAGTGATACAGTGTTCCGTGTAAAATGAAGTATTGGATAGAATTGATGTATTGATGTAGGAAATAGATAGAGGTTTGGACAACGTAATTTTTTGAATTAGACATATCTTTTATATTCATATACGCGAATGTAAACACATACTCGAAAAAACACCCACACAATGTTTGACACTCTTGTGGGACACTCTTGCGGAACACTTGTGTAAAACACTCTTGCGGGACACTCTTGTAAAACACATTTGTGGGACAGTCTTGTTCGACACTCTTGTGGGGCACTCTTGTAGGACACTCACATTCTTGTGGGATACTTTTGTGGGACACTCTTGTGGGACACTTTTGTTTGTCATTCTTGTGACTCACTCTTGCGGGACACTTTTGTAGGACACTCTTGCGAAGCTCCCTTGTAGGACACTCTTGTGGGACACTCTTGTAGGGCACTTTTGTAGGGCACTTTTGTAGGGCACTCTTGCTGGACACGGGACACTCTTGTGGGACACTCTTGTGGAACACTCTTGCGGAACACACCTGTGCGATATTCACTCTCGTGGGGCGCTCTTGTGAAACACTCTTGTAGGACACCCGAGTGGGGCACTCTTGTGTGTCGCTCGTGTGAGACACTCTCGTAGCTGGGCACTCTTGTGGAACACTCTTGCAGGACACTCTTGTGGGACTCTCTTGTAGGAAGCAGCTCTTGTGGGACACTCTTGTCGGACACTCTTGTAGGATACTCTCGTGGGACACTCTTGTAGGACACCCTTGTGGGACACTCTTGTATGTCACTTTTGTGGGATACTCTCGTAGGACACTCTTGTTCGACACTCTTGCGGAACTCTCTTGTAAGACACTTTTGTGGGATACTCTTGTAGGACACTTTTGTTGGACATTCTTGTGGGACACTCTTGCGGGACGCTCTTGTACACTCTTGCGGGGCACTTTTGTAGGATTGCAAGGATGTCCCACAAGAGTGCCCCACAAGAGTGTCCGACACCTATGTGTTACGAGAGTGTCCCACGAGAGTGACATACAAGACTGTTCCAGAAGAGAGACATTTGGGAGTGCCCCTCCTATAAGAGTGTTTTACGAGAGTGATAAACAAGAGATTCCTACAAGAATGCCCCGCAAGAGTATCCTATAAGAATGTCTTACTTGACTTGTGGGACACTTTTGCTTGTCATCTTGTAGGACACTCTTGTATGGCACTTAGACTTACTCTTGCGGAACACTCTTGCACGACACTTTCGCATAACACTTTCGTGGGACACTTTTGTGGGTCACTTTGGCGGAACACTCTTGTAAATTGCTCTTGGGATCACTTTTATGGAGCACTTTATATTGCATTCTTGTGGGACGCGCCCTGTTGTAAGACATTTTTACAGGTCACTTTTGTGGGATATTTTCACTTTTACCGGACATTTTTGTGGGACACTCTTGTGGCGCATTCTTGTGGCGCATTCTCGTCGGACACTTTTGTGGGACACTCTTGTAGGATTCTGCAGGGCAGGACACTCGCATGGGGAACCACTAACGTCTCCAAAAGGCAACCGTCACGACTCCAGAACACGCGTTTCGTTCGAGATTTCCGTTAAAAGTTGCGCGTTAAGTCTACCAAACAAGCATTTCGTATGCAATGTCTTCTAAATGTCTCCGAAACGAGCGTCGAGACTTCAAGTGCGAAATCTGCAAAGGAAACGTTTTGCGCGAGACTTCGTCCAAAAGTCACATATTAAATCTCCAAAACGAGCGTTTCATACGAGATTTCCTCCAAAATTCATGCACTAAGTCTCCGAAATGAGTATTTCGTACGAGACTTCCTCAACAATTCTCAAATGAAATCGGTTTTTGGATCGTCGTTCATTATATCTACAATGAAGACCTTCACCAGCAGCAGACATAGACACACACACACACACAAACAGGGCACACATCACACACAGAGACCCACGCACTGCCTCAACTTACTCGGACACACACACAGACAGAGACTCATACACACACACACATAGATACACACATACAGAGACCCACACACTACCTCAACTCACTCGACTTAACACTTCACACTGAACACTTGACAGATAATTCACACTCTGACTTCCTACGTGATGAAAATGCGTTCGGGCCACTCGTCGTCTAGTTTTCCTAAGAATCTTTTTGAACATTTCGAGAGCATATGTTTGAACATTATCGAGTGCGTATGAAATTATATGTACGAAAGGTCGCCTCCGAGGGGATAAATCACCATGTCAAACATTGCATTTTTGTTCCTGCCTCTCGCGTTCTTTTCTCTTCCCGCTGTCCTACCTTTCGTGTCTCCCTCCTCTCAAGTTTTGATAATAAAATAAAATTGTGAAAGTTATATGCAAAATTATACTATTATATAATATTTTATTATTAATTAACAATATTGAAAATCGCAATCTTAGTTCCACTAGAGCGCTGGTTGATTTCCTGGGGTGGAGCTATATTTGTCTTGATGTGATTTTTTTTTTTTTTTCATTTGATACATCCCTCCCATCCATGCAGCCATTTTGGCATTCGACTGCGCTTGTAATTGTCCTACTGAGAAGCCCGGTCCCAAGTCTTGGGGACTTTCTGATATCCCTGGTTTTCCTTTTGTAGAGAGTCCGGCGCGAGGGTTGTCCATCCGGTTTTAGGGATGGGTAGAAGCAGCTTTGACGAATCTCCCACAGGTTGCTCTAATGCAAAAATTAATGAAATTTGGTCGTCGTCGGGTTTAGGCCCTATTGCGTCACGCTCATATTGTAATAAATTGAACAGATCATATCAAATCGATTAGGGAGGGTATTGCCACCTTCAAGGGTAAATCGATGTTCAGGCGAAACTGGCTGCCCCTGTTCCACCCACACATATAACCCCTTCAAGTCTATCCGGACATCTCAAGGGTGTTTTAATGGAATGCCTCTAGATCTTTGGATTATGCCATTTAGGTCCATTGGTGTGATGCCAACCCCTACGATCTCATCATTGTTTAGGAATCTGGATGGTCGATGACCAATGAATGGAGCAGTGCCCCTTAAAAACCTGATACAACCCAGTAACCCAATACATTCGGCAGATCGTTTTGCCTCAATCTTCGTCATGGTTCGAGTAGTCGTAGCACGTCCAGACCAAATTTCGGTTGCGACCCATGACCCTGGCGGACTGCTCCAGATACGATTAACATTGTACAGACCACACGAGGTTGCAGCCATTTATCAATAGGCGTGGTCCACTGGTCATGGCATCCAGCCCACACTGACCAAACGTCAGCGCGTATGGAATATATTATGTAAGTGTCTAGAAAATATACCTCAGAGACATCTGTTGCTTGTTAGTGGTGATTTTTAACACCCCTCTTAATCATATACCACACTTAGTCTATTCCATGGATCCAAAGTATTGATATGCTGCCCAGCGTGACAAGCAGACTTTGTCTTAATTGGTCCAGGATTATGCACTAATAGCGCTCCATGTGCCACATTCAAGCAGGAGCCCCTAGTAGCTTCTTGTCATTAGTTACGACGCCAAAAGCCCCTAGTAGCGTCCTTGCTTCTAGCAACAAGGCCAGGAGCCCTTAGTAGGTTCTTGTTACTAGTAGCGATGCTAGGAGCCCCTAGTGGCGTCTTTGCTCCTAGTAGTAAGGTCAGGGGCCCCTAATAGTTTTTTTGTTACCAGTAGCGACGCTAGGAGCTCCTAGCTGATGTGATCATCACCTTCCATTGAATTGGTCCATTTCCTAATGATTTCCACACCCCAAGTCCTATCACGCAGTTCGACCGATTCCGCATTCGCCAGGACATAAAGCAGAATACGCCCGGATGGCAAGCCTTCCTGATAGAGGCCCGACAACATCTCGAGGACCAAGCACAGGACCACACTGGCCCTAATCTTATTAATTCTATTGAAAATCATCTCAACGCCTTGTGTCGTGCCTGGATTCCCAAAATCCACACCCAGATTGCCGACACCGTGCCCACGACATCCCTGTCCACCCAAATGTGGTAGGTTCGCAAGGCCTTCGTGATCTGAAGGGATGCGTAATGATTTCCGTTTTCCTGGGATAGCACCACCTTGCCTAGTTTCGCCGTTTGCGCAAATAGATTCGACAATTCAGCCGTCAGAACAAGAAACAACGTTTTAAAGAATTCTTGCAAGAATGGACGGATCTTGCATTGCGCAATCAGACCTATGACTGATTTCGCAGAGTCCGGAAGCTGTGCCCAAAGCAAAGACCGCTGAAGATACAAATGTTCGATCCTCATGGCCAACCGATATTACCTCCCCAAGAACTATAAACCCATTAAAGATTATCTAGGCCAATTGTATCATAACCCTGACTTTCGTCCACAAAACATGTCCCCGCACAATCAACTTCCATTTACTAGCGCCGAAGTGTTGCAAGGACTTCGAAAGCTCCCACGCATGAAAGCTCTTGCGCCACCATGCATGCCTGCTTTGATCTGGCATCAGTTGGCCTCCGAACTTGCGGAGCCAATATTCCGAGCGCTTGAATAT